CCTCTTGTGTGGCAACATAAATATTGAGACAGAAGAAAAGCGGGAGGAGGGGAAAGGAACAGAAAGCTTTGCTCATGAATATTAAAATGTATCTTCACACTGCAGCAGCTCAGGATGAGAGAGAGATATGAACTGAGGGCCAGAGGAGAGAGGGAGTCAGTGTTACAGTAAAATATGGAGAGAGTGAGCGAGCAGGAAGAGAAGACATGATAGCAGGAGACAGATAACAGCGGTGAGAAATTGGGGAGAGGAAGAAAAGAATGGAGCAGCAGAATGACACAAAGTGAAAGGGACAGATTAGGTGATTTGAGGTAAAAGGGGGTTATTGAGACACACAGGGAAGGATATTAAAATAAATCCCTCAATATACTTAATCCACCGTCATGATATTTTAAGTTCCAGTGTGAGTGTGAGGCCACTCAGACTATGAGACTGTGTCCCAGATTTGAAGGTCCTTCCACATGCATTCATGTCCAATTTATTACAACTTGGGTCTTATTTTTGTAGCTTCTTTTTCAGATTTTTTTTTAGCAAAGTTGCTGTGTCCCCAGCTCCCAACAATAGATGTTTATAATGTTAGTTTTCCTAGCAATAGCAGAAATAAAGTGTGTTAGGGTGTGCTTTACCCTCATTTTGGCACAAGCGTCTTGTGTGGACTCCGTCCCTCTCAGCTCCTTCACCAGCATGGAGCCCAGGTACTGTGGAAAAGACACACAAACATATGTTTAGGAGAATATAAAGTGAATTATGCAAGTGTGTTGTTATGGCTGTATATAAAACTCTGTCACCATATTAACCTCCTAATGTCTGCCAGACACTACAGACACTAGTGTTCTGTCTTTACGAAGTCATACTGTGCAGCCTGTTCAACTTAATTTTCAATTCTAGTGGTCCTCCCAAAGTTTGTTAACAGTAGCCTCACATTTGTGAAGCTTCAACCAGTAAATCTTTGGCATTTTTGCCTGATAAATGCAAACAGTGGATGCGATTTTTTGTTAGCAGATTAAGGGCAAAGCTCAATTTTAAACTAATGTTGGGCTAATGTTCCCCTCCCAGATGAAGATGTGTCCCACCTACTTCCATTCTCAAACAGAAAAGATTGCGACACAGTTAGCAGGGACAGTCATCAGCTGTCAACTCCAGATACAGCATCATAGACCAGTCAGTCTTTACCGACCACTTACTTCCCTCCTTACCATTATCTGACCAGTTTACATACTAAACCCTGATAAGTAACGAACTCAGCCTGGGCTTTTAACAGAGTCAACAATTGAATGCTCACCCACGAGGATGTGGAGGACAAGGAGTAGGAGGTTTTATACAAAGTCTAAAATAACATAACAAACACCAGCCTTCTCTCCCAAAAAAAGAAGAGGACAAAGGCACATGGAACTGTTGTTTGTCTTTATTGTCTTGATGAAATAAACGGACAAAAATATAAATGTGTGTGTTTTAATTTATAGTATTAATTATGGAGTATACTTATCTACAAGAAAGAAACCTTTTCTATTTTGAGTAATTCATGGGTGCCATGTTTACATTCAGCACATGGAGTTTGATTAAATGCACACAGACACACACAGCAGTGCTTACTTGAGAGGCTCCTGGAGGGACATTAACACCAAAGTGTGGCAGATCCTTCTCTCTGGACAGATATTCTGCACACGTAGTATCTGATTTAATAAAGAAGCTACTAATGGTGACAGTGTTTTACAGGGACAATGTTTATGTCGACATTAGAGCACTTAATGGGTGTGACATCCACCACCTTGCAGTGCCCTTCCTGCCTGTGGAAGAGCCCTTATTCCTTAAAGTGGGACCCTAACAAGGCTTTTAGTGGATTAGACGAAGAATATTTACAGCTTTTTTTATGTCTCATCTGTTTAACTCTACAGCACATGACTCCAAAATTGATTATCTACCCCACAGGATTTATTTTACATTTGATTAGTGATGCATTTGATTATGAAGGCAAAGCAAGCTTTTGGGCAAATTGCTTTGCGTGCTGACTTACTTTTTGTGTAGCACAGACTGTGACTGAGTCTGGTCCTTGGCAGATCAGAAGGAGGTCATCTGCGCATGTTAATACTTTGTCTTGATTCAAGCTAACAATCTTAAATCGCTGTTATGGCAGGGTTGCTGGCAGTTATCCTAGAAATTGCATTACAGTTGCACACAAGACCAGCTGCTCTCTTGTCTACCGTGTCTCTGTGGCAGTAATTGTTGGTGTACACAAACACACAAGTCTTTTATTAGTTCCAGATAAAATTCAGAGATGTCTGTAGATTTCTAGCAGGACTAAGTATGTACAGCCACACTAGCAGCTCTGTGAGGCTCTACTTAGGCACAGTGGTGCTTTGAGCTAAATGCTTCAAACACACTAAAACAGTCACAGTGACAATGCTAACATACTGATCTTATGCAGGTATTATGTCTTACCACGTTCATCATCTTAGTTAGTGTCAGAAGGCTAATTCTAGCACACAATAAATTTGCTAATTAGCTAAAAGTACAAATTTAAACCAAGACTGAGGGGAAAATACCTATTTTGGTCATAAGACACAATATTGGACACACTGAAACTCACCAATGTCTTTACAATTTATCCTACACATACATAAATGTTGATACACACTTGATACAAAAATTGTAAACTTATCCATAATGTTGTCATGTATTTGTAGCACTTTTCATGACCGTCTTTTAAATGGACAGAAGCGTGAATGAGGACATGGTATTAATCATAACAGTATCTGTCATATCAGAGCTTGAATGGAACTGCGTCAATAAAATCTGAATGGTTCTGAAATTTGTACAAAATACAAGAGGTGATTACTCTTTTCATGAAGGGGCACTCCAGGTTAAAGACATTGTTCTTTATAGATTTATAGATTTTTCTACACTAGGTATAAATAAAAAGAGAAAAAAATGGGCTGCAATTCAATACCAGGAAGAACGCCCTAATATTTTGTATATTGGATGTATCTACAGAAGCTTTTAGATGAATATAAAGGAGCTCAGAGAGTAAATGTTGAGATAACATTGGCCGTTAATGATGTAGAGTGTGGTAATGATGTTAGAATGTCTGCAGGGTTTTACTGGAAATGGATTTGTAATAACTTCAGATAATATTTTCGAGCTCTGGTTGTAAAGCTGACATAATAAAGTTAAGATGTCATCTGAGGTGGTGCTGAAAGTGGAGGTTTTGTTTATTTCGAGCCCAAGATGAAAATGAGAACAGTGCTGATGCATCCTTTATTCCAGTCCTTTTGGCTTTTTACCATCCTGCTTTCTCTATTAACACAAACACAATACACTTCTCTCTTTCCTCACTCCCTCTCATCACTGTCTTCTCTATCTAATTTATTCTTATTCACTCTCTGTCTCCCTCCAGCTTGCCAATATTCATACTGTGCGCTCTGCCTCTCCCTCTGTTGTGGCTCCCGCTCATTTATCTCACTTTCTGGAGCCCGTTGTCCTGGGACAGCGAGCATTAGAGATGTTGTCATAAACGGCTCCATGAAAGCACCTCCATATTTTCCCCCGATGGCCCACCCGTTGTGTGCTCCCCACCACACATCCAAAACACATTGCCTGTGTAGTTGTACATCTGTCAGAAGCCTAATGGTCCACAGTGTTGCTATCAATCTTCTCAGGTGAGAAAACGAATAAGGAGGGATTTGACTGAGGGAAGACACACTCTTGGGATACTTATCTCTTATTCAATGCCTGTATCTCATATTTCTTGCTTTCATTCACATTTGATTTCTCCTCTCTTCGCCCTGTTTGTTTTTCAATCTCTCTCCAACTATGTTCTTCCTTTGCCCTTCCCACTCTTACTTAATCATCTAGCTCACATCTTACTCCAGGTCTTCACCGCAGAGCTGCAGAACCAATCAAAACATGCATTTCTGAGAACCAATGGCATCTCAAAATTGCTTTTTCTCTGCACAGTTTTACCTGCTCCAACTAAGTTCTCATTGCAGTCTGGATGCTGAGCATATAACCACTTAAGAGGTGCAAGGCTGTATCCGTGGTAACGTGGATATATAACATCCTTAATGTAACTGGCAAAGGTCTAAATTTACCAAAGCGCTGAGCATAACTGAGTGCAGTATTGACTGAAAGGGTGAAGTTGAGGGTCATTGACCTTCAATCTTATTACCTTAGGAGTATATTTATTAGTCAATTAATCGACAAGGCAATAAAAAGAACATTGAGGCCAATAGTTTGTTATCCAAATTAGGTGTTTTACGCAAAAAGGCCCAAAATGTACTAGTTCTAGCTTCTCAAGTATGAATATTTGCTGGTTTTATTTCTGTCTCTGTTTTCTTTTTTCACAATTGTTGATGTTTATAGACCAAACAATCAGTCATTTAATAAAGAAAATATAATAATTAGTTGCAGGTCTACATGCAAATACACATATTTGAACTGTGAATACACACATTTACACACACACAGAGTTAAGTGAGGTGAAGGGGTAGGACTTACATAGGCTTCATAGTCACAGGATTGAAAGATGAGCTTCTCGGGGTGATGCTGCCAGTACTGCACTGGAGTGGACGAGGTGGCCTCGTTGGGCGGACGCAACGTGATCGGCTCGCACCATTCGCCTGCCTGAAAAGACAACCAATCGCATGTCAGGACACAAGCCAGATCACACAAGATTATAAGATAGGACATGACATCAAGGACTTGTTCTGTGTATCCCATGTTGACATAACTTGTTGGCCAGATAAATGTGTGTAAATTCATAATGTAACTGCTTTTCCTGGCTGATGAATATGAATATGCCTTCAAAGGGACACGCTTCAGAGAACATCCAAGAGGAAATAAAACTTGGATGAATTATGCTTGGCTTCTTAATGTTCCCATTCTTTAGCTCAGTTGAAGACTCTTTGCTGCTGCTGCTAACCGCTTTTTCACCTTTTACACAAAGGAAATACCAAAATCCTATCTGCATACTTCTCAAATGTCTGCGGATAACAATTAAGTTTGTTTTATGGTCTTTCATTCTTCAGTAAATGAAACCAGATGATTTTCTTGCGTGAGGAGTAATGCATACAGCCTGTGACTGTATGTTTATGGGTTCTATCTGATTGCTTTTGTGTGTAATTCCATCACATAGTTGGTGAGGCACTGTAGAGGTGAGATCTGACGATCAGATGTTGGATTAACAGCCTGGGGATAAGGCTTTAGAAACAAGCACTGGCCGAAGCTACGCTAAACTCAACCAGCTTAACAGCATTACACCACTTTTTCTCACACCCTTTGACCCTGCTTGGGACGGACTCAGCTGCAAATCTTCAGTTACTAAATGTTTTTATGTGTTATCTTAAGGACCAAAAGAAATAGTGTTAATTGTGAGGTAACCAATCATAGAAATGTGGCGACAGTCAGAGAAGAGGGGTATTCAGACGGAAAATGAAGATATTTCGTCTTTTCTAAAATACTTATCCTTCTATTCTGGCAAAGCTGACTCATCAGTGCCACCTCAGAGTGTTGTTTCTAAAAAAAGGGGGGATACACTGACGCACACACACTTAAGAGATTCAGCAGGGTAACCATAAGTGTGTGGTAGTCTGCACTGATAAGCTCTGTGATTCACACAGAGACACAAAAAGACCCTAATCATACTGAATCAAAACACAGCTGCTACCTCAGATGCGTGCACACGTGCAAGTGTGTGTGTGTGTGTGTGTGTCTGAGTCATTGTGCTGTTGCTGATTGGAAGTCATAAAGTTCTAATTGTGCGTTTGGATGAGAGTGAAATTGCTGAAAAGTTGAAACACTTATTCTGAAAAGTATGTCTTGTTTATGCAGAACTATTAAGGAGTTACATCTTTGATGTTTGAGACAGACTACTGGAGATAAACATTTATTTGTAAAGCAGTAGTTTATGCCTGATTGCAGTTTGCATATTTTAGCATTTTATAGCACAAAGTTTCAGGCAATTTATGTCTTATTTCCTTATTTGTAAAATTTATATGAGCTCTAAACTGCAAAGAGGGCTGCTGGTGTCAGATTGTCTGCATGTTGCAGATTATTAATGGGAGATTTTCAACAACCAAATAGGCAGAACACTTCTGGCTTGCATCTTGTAGCTATTAGGGACCAGGATTTAATTACTGAGATACTTCTTTTATGGTTAAGATATATTCTATCGCCCTGATTAGAAATGTGAAAGCTTATTAGTTTATTATTGTTTCCAATTTGTGAAATTACAGGATACAACTTTGAAATATTAGACATTAGAAGGTGTGTTTGTTACCAAACTCATCCTTTAAGCATCCATCCATCCAATTGTATCTCTGACTATTACCATTCATAATACTCTCCTTGAGTCCATCCCTCTCTCCCAGTCCCTGCCTCCATTCATCCCTCCAACCTGTCCTCCCTTCCTCACCATGCTGACTTGGGCCATCTGTCGTTCCAGCTTGGATCGCGGCACGTCCTCAAAGTAGTTGTCATTGCTGCGCTGCCTGCGCCGGGCGTCCGCCTGCATGATGAGGTGCTGCACGTCCAGAGATCCGCCCGGGACCCCCGCGGTGTACGCTGCCTGGCCCACTGACGGGCTGAGCTGGGGAGGAGTGTGGTTTCCGCCGGGCTCCTGGGACAGGACGGGTGGGGTGGGGGAAGGAAGCAAGAGAGGGTTCATTCATCATTTCATAATGTGCTGTGTCACTGCTGCAAGTACAATAAGTAGGGCAATTGCATTCGCTGTGCACTGTCACATTTTATTTTTCAGCTACTGCTGAGTAATAGTATCCAAAAGTGCTTTGTATAATCAGGACAAAGACACTGTCCTGTTACAAGAAGGTCTCAGCAGGTCCATCAGCACAATTGGCTGTAAACACAACACTGAAGCTTTGCCTACTCAGAGTCACTTTAAGTAAAAGCATCGGCTCGATCCTTAAAGTGGAAAATTATGTTCATTTAAGAGGTTTTTCCAAGCTGAACGCAGACTAAAATTCCCCAAAGAATTAGAACTTTTATATGTTTTAATGGTGTAATGGTCTTACACACTCGAAAGTCAGCTTATTTCTCCTGAGAGGTCATTCACTTTCAGTTGATTACATATGTGAAGAGTCTTAATAGAAGAGGCTTATTTCCGGGCTGCGGAAGCTGACGTGTAAAAACTTTGCGTTTCAGTTCTCATCCAGAGTCATTTGTCCTAACACACTCAGCTGTCAGCCACGGTTTGTACTGTATTACAGAGTAAACACAGCCCTCTGCTCACACACTGGAAGCTGCTTAAACACATCATTTTACGCTGTATTAAGTATAATCTTGCTTTTCTTCAATTACATGCCAGTGGCACCTCTTTTCTTGAATTGAATTTTCTTGAATGGAGTTAAATTAGGGCTGAAACAACTAGTCGATAAATCGATTTGTTGATCAAGAGAATCCTTTATCAAGCAGAGATGCTAAACATTTGCTGCTTTTCTCTGTTTGTATTCTCTCATTCTAAGGCAAAGTTATGATTTTTACACTTACACTTTGAGGCTCAGTATGTAACTGACATTTTCTGATGGAAATGTTGAGACACAGTGGACAGTTTAGGCTTTTTAAAAGGTACAGAAAGGAGCAGAATTGACCAGGTCGACACATTCAGCGTCATCTCAGAAGCAGAAGGCCTCCTTTAGCTTCACAGTACAAAGAGCAAGAGACTATTATAAGGACATTAGAGCGTAGCCCCAATGGGAGAGGGAAAGCCAGTTCCTTGTGATTAGTATCCAGGACAAGCCGGCAGGGAGGAAACTGCAGTGGGTCGGCCATTTTGTGCCTGCCTGAGAGATTTGGGTAATCAGTTGGGTGGTAACTGCAGCAGTGGGGAGGCTGTAGCTCCCTAAGAGAAACACACAGCCATCTGGGAAGAAACTAGTGCCTTCCTTCTCTGTCTGATGTATTCATAGTAATTTCGATACATGTTGCTTGAGGGTTTTTATGGTTCAAACAACACATGCTGTCTGCTCACTCACCCTTAGGGAGATTGCCCGCGGAGGTTTTTGTGGGGTGTCTTCGTGTAGCCGGTCCCCCAATGAGGCCAAGATCCGTTTTCTGTGTCCGATGAGACTGATCTTCAATACCTGGATAAATACACAGATATTAGACATTAAAGTTCAATAAATGAAGATAGTAGTAGTAGTAGTTTGTAGATGTTGTGCACAAAAAATTATCACGGAAACGATGATCGATCCACAGAAAATTAATCATTTAAGTTATTTATCAGGAAGAAAGATATAAAAAAAAAACATTACTAGTTCCAACTTCTGAAATGAGAGGATTTTCTCTCATATATCATGTAAATTCAATATCTTTGGGTGTTGGACAGTTGGACAAAACAATCAATTTGAAGACATCACTTAAGGACTCTTTGATGGAAATTGTGATGGAAGACACAAGAATAAATTAACAAGACTGGTTTTTGTGTTCTCTGTAAATACACTGTGCTCACAAAAAAATGATGACTCTCACTTTCATTTGCATAATTTGAAACAGCTTTTACAAAGAGCAAGAGTTCAAAGGCTTTCAGACTGGATAATAACGAGATTGTATCTGCAAAAAAACTACTTAAAAGGTAACAGATTATCACCATCATCATCATGAGCCTCAAATGGAAGATAATACTGCTATCCAGAGAAAAGTTTCACAGAGAAAAAGACCGGTGTGCACTACAGAGCACTCAGGGAAGTACTAATGAGTGCATAATGACATAAAATGCCCCTGAGCACATGCATACAGCATATTATTATTATTATATAACTTGGATGGCTCTGTTGAAGCTGTTAGTCGTGTTGTGACATTAACATGCTCATAGAGTGATATATCGTTCCTTTAAGGTAAAACACATAACAGCAAGTGAAGTAAACACACACAAAGATCATAAAAAGAGAGAGAGGCAGGCAGGGACAGACTGATTCAATTAACTGGTGCTCTTGTAGTAACTTACTACTCTATCCTTTTCTTTCAGTCAAATTAAAAAGAATCTAATATGCCCTGAAGCAGAGTATCAAGTAAGAGATGTAGACTTGGGACTCGAGAGTAAGTCACAAAAATGAGGATTTGAGACTTAAAGCAAAAAGCAAATTATAAGTTTTGACCTGTAAAATCCTAGAACATTAAACAATTGCTATAAATATTTAATAATCAGGCCTAAGGATTTAAGGGAGTTGGTCTCAGTTATCTAAATAAATACTAACAATTCTTTTATATGTACTCCGTACAATGGTTCGCCAGCTCTACTGAGCTAACTGGGCACCCAAATACTAACAATTTCAAAAACAAAACTACGTAATTTTAATGATCAGAATTTTGCCCCAAAAGATAGGATATATGGCCTGGTCTGACCTGAAATTGAGAGAAATATATCTGTATGTTTTTCAGAAAATATGTATAGAAACTTGGTACTTCCTGGACTACTGTAGCTGGAGGAGCCAGGCTAGCGCTTGTCAGTCACAATAGCTCTCAAACTTATTTCTATTTTCTCTGTAAGGGAAAATAAGGCTCTTTAAGCTTCCCAGTTGGTTAGATCAGCTCCATCGCTAACAGGACAGTCTGTCCATACAGTTCATTCAAAAGACACATTTTTACCATCGCCTCATGTCTCATAATCCATTCCTCTTTTGTGGAGCAGTTTATACTCAGACAGAGGCGGTTAAATTAAAGTGAATGTGCAACACTGCTACTAAGTTATGATAGCTATAAGCTAAGCTAATTGCCACACAGCTCAAGTTCCATACTTAGAGCACACACACGAGAGAGGTATTGATCGTCTCATCTAACTCTCAGCAAGAAAGCGAATAGGAGTATTTCTCAAAATGTCAAACTATTCATTTGAAAGATTTCTAAGATTAAAACTAAAAATGAAAAGACCAAACACAAACCAGAAGTATTAGTATCCGATTTTCCAGTTCTTTGTTAAGGGCACCATTTGATAAAACATTGTTAATGAGAGCTGAGAGCCATGAAATGCAAATTCAACAATATCAGATTGTGGCAAATTTGTAATAGTCTATTGATTTCCCCCAGGCGCTCATTACACAGGCACAAACAGAGACAAAATACACATACACACTTGGACTCCAATGAAAGCATTCATTCTTTCTCTGGTCACCAGGCGTCCACTGACTGTGCCAGTTACTGGGTTTTCTAAAGAGATGAGCTGGAACATGGCAGCCTTCTGCAGGGATGTTGTTTGCACCTTCTGGCACCCATACTTGAGTATACAACAAACTTTTGCCTGGTTTTATGGGCCTGCCTCTGGAGGTCTTCCAATAAAGGTATGTGTGAGTCTGAGAGTGTTTGTGTGTGTCTCTTCAGGGCAATAGGTGGTAATTAGCCTCAATGCGAGGCCTTGCTGCGAGTCTAATGATTTTCCCAACAGTCTTGCTTTGAGTCAGCACAACTCACACACAGATACACACATACTTCATCATCTCTTGCACCAATTACTGCCCCACATCTGCTAGAGAAACATTAAAATACAAACTAACAACAAGAACAGTGTCGTAGGATGCACATACTTTGGTTCAATGTGTGTGTGCATGAATCTAAACACACAGACAGAACATAAATAAATCAAACCCAACCGTAATGAATAGTGTATGTATGCATACTGCATGTAAACAGCTGATATATAATGTATCAAGCAAGCTCAAAAAAGACCTCCTCTTGTTGTGATAAGTAGGTTTCATAAATTAAATTTTATGTCATACAGTGAATAAGGAAAAGGGACGATGTTAAATAAAAAACAGCAGCTACCAACGGGTTAAACGACATCCTACGCTGTTCTTCTCTGCATGGAAACAATGTATTTTAATTGTTAAAATTAGACGGATCAAAGGGAAACAGAGAGCAGAGCTGGGACTAGCGGGTAGTGGAACTAATTGGCATATTATGGCCTCCCCGTGCTCCCTCCACCAATTTTTACTCACTCATCTTTCCCCTCCTCTATTCTCCTTCTCTTCTGGCTTTCACAGCTCACTATCTCTTTCTCTCTTACACACACTGTCCTTTATGGACACACAATGTCAGCGATACTACAACATCTCCACCTCCCTCAATCTGTGTCTGTCTCTTTGCACTAAACAGGACATTGGCTCGCTGAATTTGGTGCATTAAGATCATGTCATTTTGAGAAAGAAATACTTGCTTCCAATGCAAACAAGTCATATCATTAAATGAGAATAAGTTGTACTGCGCCACTGGTAAAAAGAAAATTTACACTTGACATTCTTGTAAATAATTAAACTAAATTGAAAACAGGTGACATTACTGTATATACATCTGTCTCATTCTCAGGCTTTTAAATAACTTGTTTAGTGTGTAGTGTAGTTTTTTCTTTCCGCCAGTGTAAATGTAATGAAATGATGAGGCAATTAATCAAAGAGTTCATAGAAAGAAAAAGAATTTGCAATTCTGAAATTTTAAAGATTTGATGACTTTTGATTAAACTATAAAAAACACGAATCGACCTAGATATTGTTTTGTTTTTTTGTTTTTGCTTTATGTAGTACAGGTTATGATATATTCATTATTATGCTGCTGTGTCTATCCCTGTCTGTCTCCTGAGGGACAATAGCGTGACACCACACTGCTGTTTCATCACATACAGGACGCACATACTCCGGGGGGGAGCACAGTAATTGCCCAACATAGTGCGTATCTATGTGTGTGTGTGTGTGTGTATCTGTGTTACACTTTGTCTTATGCAACAGCATCTACTTCAACTACAGTAGAAGCCTCAACCTCAGCTTGAAGTTCAACTGTCACCATGGCAACACAGAGCCGCAGCAGCAGTAGTCACCCACACACACTCATCCAAAAATAAAATAAATAAAATCCACATGCACGTGGATGTGTACTCACACACACACACAAACACACACAAACAGCTGTTTTGGAGCCTGTGGAAGAAGATTATATTGTTATCCCTGAATGGGTGAGAATTTGAATGCAACCCGACCATTATTGTTAAAACACAAACTCACACTCTCACTCTCTCTGTGATGCTTGACTGCAGTATCGCCCCATTTGCATTTAAATTATATTCACAGCAGCTGTATATCCTGACAGGAGAAGTGTTGAGCTACCACAATGTACAGCCTCTCTGCACCCCTTTCCTCTCTTTCCATACATCGCACTAACCACGCATTCATTTAAGCGCAATCCTATTCAAATTTACTCAAAAAGCTTTCTGAGTGATCATGATCTCGTTCTTCCCATCTCTCCTTGCGGTGTCATTGAGTGGCAAGAGCATCCAATGAGGGTTACTTACCCTCTGGTCTTGATTTTTTTTATTTTACCAGTAGTATGAAGTGATTTGGGGCGCCTCCAGTGTCTGTCTGGGCCACTGTGTTTGTGTCTTCTGTGTGTGTGTGTGTCGATCAATGCACTAATCCTGTTAACAGTCCCGTTAGCCCAGATTGAACAGGCTTGATTAACGGATTAGCCACCACACATACGGCTAACGGAGCTGTGCTTTCTCACAGCTATCCCCCTCTCTCTGCAGTTTGCTGTCACTACAACGAGAATTTAACAAATAATCTGATTTCTGTTGGAATTTAAATATTTGTTTGGTTTCGAGTGTAAACCGTCCCACCGTCAAGTTACTTCATCTAGCAACGAGTCGTAAAAAATCTAAGAGCAAACCATCTCCCTGTGGTATTGAGATTATTTCACTTTTACTGCAAATCAGATCAGATTTTTTCCTTGAATCACCCTCTCCTGAACACACTGACCTCCTTAAACACAAGAGTGACCACAGAATAAGGACGACAGCTGCAACAAAATGACATTTTTGCAAAGAAACCAGTGCAACAATAACGGGTAAGTGGAAAGCGTCAGTGATTGGGGACATTAACAACGACCTCTCTCAGTCAGGACACTGGAGACAAAAAGCCTTTTCTCTGTTTCCCACTGGAGGGGAGGTTGGAAGCTGGTCGACTCACTGGAGCATAAAACCCAGTGAGGGAAACAACAGTCCAGTCACTGTCTGTGCTCAAGCTAGCACATAGTTTTAATGATGGAGAAGGAAGGGACTGAAAACGCTTTCATCAGTCTCTCTGCTCCTTTTTAATATACATTG